GGGGCCCAGGACCGCCCCCCCCCCGCAGTTTCAGGCACCCTCGGGGCTGGAACGTGCCCTGCGGCTCAGGGGCTGCTGTGAGGCGGCCGCCCGCCCCCGCCCCTCCCGTCACAGACGCGGGAAGAAATGACGCCACTCACCCCCACCGCCCCGCGTACCAGCTCCTCCTCCCTCAAGTCAAGTCCGACTCCGCAACTCGCCTGACCACAGTGAAGAAGTGTGTCTCAAAAGCCACACGAGAAACAACTGAGTGAAAAATGTTTGAAATGAGGCTGGAGTTGATGCAAACTTGTTCTTCAAGTAAAAGCAAACGTGAGCATCCAAAGAAAGAAAGAAGGAATTATACCGAGACAATTAGACTAAGAATTCTATGCCTTTTATTCAGGTATTTCAAAAATATTTGTTGATCATTTGTTTCAAAATGTACATTTTAAAAAAAATCCATACAAAACTGTAATTTGTTTTAAAACCAGACAGGAACAGTGGGAAAAGGATTTGCAAAAACGGTTCACTGAAAGTAAAAAGATCCCCACCCCCCCGGGCAAAAACAGCCAGAAAACAAGACCCTTTTACATGAAAGCATAAATACGCAGGTACAAGGTTTCCTTGAGTTCCTCGGTGAAATTTGGTCCACAACATGAACAGGCTAGCGAAGAAAAGCAGACACTCAGCCCACGTTTGCGCCAGGAGGTGCTCAGGGCGCCAACAGCCGCTGCCCGGCCTTCAGAGGTTCTTACACACGAGGGACTGAAAAACGAGGTGCAGAGCCTCACCCCACAGACACCTGACTGGACCCCCGGAAACGGCGGCACGTGCAGCCAGCCAGATCCCGCCAGGTGCACAGGCTGCCCACGTGGGACCGAGTCCCGGGAAACGCTCCACACGGACAAGAAACTCGAGGACGCTTTCAGCAGGAGGCTGGTGACGCCGCGCGGGTCCCCACACCCCTCACTCCCAGACGCGGGCCTGTTAGTGCCCCGGCCTGAGGGTGGTTTCTCTCCTCCTCAACAGACTTAAAAGAAAAAAGGATGTCTAAGATGATGCTACAAGGTTCCATGAGACTGCCAGACGCCCACCAGGGTCACGAGAATGACAGCAACAGGGGAGGGGCGGCTAGGGTTTCTTCTGTGGGGACGACCCCCCCCCCCAGTGCCAGGCAGGGAGGGACAGAGGGCCGAGGGAAAGACCACCGGCTGGGAGTTATTGCACAACCCGGAGGAGCCAGGACAAGGCCGGCAGGCAGGGGGAGCTGCTGCTCACACAAGGTAACACTGCATGGAAGGGCGGGGGACACACTCCGCCACAGCCCACCCGGACCCACGTCACACGGGCACCTGTGATGGCGAAGGGCAAACTCGATCGCGTAAACGTAGGGCTGAGTGGGGAGCAACAGAGATCAAAGGAGGCTACAGCAAGGGTACCTTTTCTTCAAATGTTGGGGGAAGAGCAGGGCTCCCGCATGGGGCCAGAGGCCTGGGCTTGGGGGCTAGTGTCCCTGGAAGCCCCGAGCTTCCCTCACAGGCACATGCCAGCAGGTAGGGGCCTCCAGGCCCCTGCTGCTGCCACCCGGTCACAAGGGAGAAACTAGAAACGACCACAGACCCTGACGCGGGGAAGGGGGAGGGGGTATGGTGACGAATGAGGCAAAACTGTCACAATCTGTGTTCCCTTTACATGTGACTTGACCAGGCCCGGGGCCAGAGGACCACACAAGTAAGGCACTTCGGACACAAAGATCTGCTCAGAGCAGAGAGCAGGCGGGTCAGGGGGAGGCGGCTGTGGGCCGGGTCGTCCTTTCCAGCCTTTTGAGAGGAAGGGTCCACAGTCACACAAGAACTAGGATAAAGTTTTCGTTGGTGAAGGCTCCTCACTGGGCCAACAGCAGCTGCGGGGACAGACTACTTAGGCTCTGAGGATCATGGACGACCTCCTCCAGCCATGCCCAAGGCCCCTCCTCCCGGGCAGGGCTGGGAGCTGCGAAGGCAGCTGGGGAAGAGACCCCCGGGCAGTCCGGCCTCACGGGCACACCCTCCGGTGGGGAAAGAGGCTCCCCCCCACCCCGCCTCCCCACGGTCAGGAATGGAAGTCTGTTCCCTTGGGACACTGAGCCCCCACTTCCCCCCAGGGGAGCGAGGTCCGTCCAGACCTCCCTGCCGCCTCAGCCCCCAGGCGAGGACAAACCAACAGGGAGGCTGACGCCCAGGAAGAACACCCAAGCCGAGGCGGGGTGGAGGCGGCGAGCCACTTCGAGTTTAAAAAGGCATCCAGGGAAGAGAATTTTCCATTGTGGACTCTCAGGAAGGGGTTGCATGCTTTGCCCCTACCGCTCATTCAGCACTTAGGTCAAAGGGTCCCGAGAAAGATGTCGCAAGCGCAAATCCAGACACGTGTCCCAGAACGCCCAGCCTGGCCCCAGGGGGGGTTCCTGGCCCCAGATTCCGGTCGGGACGGGCATCTGCGGGTGCAGAGGCGGCCAGGGCACCGGGGTCGGTGCTGGTTTCTGGAATGCTGGTAGCTCTGCCTCGGGGCAACAGTGCGGGTCTGGGGCCCAGACACACGCGGGACTGGAACTGACCAGAATGGGCCTGCCCCCCCTCCCACAACCTGCCCCCTGCCTTCAGAAGGGGCATGTGTGACTTATTAATAGTGCGGCTATCTGAGCCTCGAGGATAAAAATAACATCCCATCACCGGGCCCCCAGGAGGGGCGCCTGCGCGGCCAGCGGTGCCGGAGGGCGGTGGCCGCTGAGGTAGATTAGCACCTGCTCGCCTCCTGGCTGATGGCGCTCGGCGGCCTCTCCAACCAGGGGTGTCTGGCCAGGAAGGAAGAAAACAGCCAAAGTGCCAAATCAGGACCAGCCAGCTCCGCACGCTCTCAGGATGAAGTAGAATTGAGTTACTTCAGCCCCTGGCAACATGCTTTGAGCCAACCTGCCAGGGGCTCGGCTCTGAAACAAATGTGCCAGGCATGCTAGGGGTGACAGAGCACGGACCCTGACCCTCTTACCCTCCCCTCAAATCATCCCCGAAGGCAGCCTGCGTGATGCTGGCCTCACTCAGGGTCACAGGGGTTCATGCAGCAGGAAAGATTTTCCCGACTCTCATTATGGAACCGACTCTGTCCTTTAGGAAGCAGTGGGAGTTAGCCTGGCCCTGGGCTGGTGGCACCGTGAGGCACACTGCACTGCGGGGCCGGCCGGCCGGAGACCGAGGACAGCCAAGCACGGGTTTTCTGGCGACAATCACCAATCACCTCCATGTGGGAGATAGGACACTGACTGATGCCAGGACCTCAGCTGCAGTTCCCCACCTCCCAGGCCACGGCCAGGCACGGGCTGAAGGCACGGCTCAGCCGGGCTCTGGGTGGGGGAGGCGGCCCCCTAGGCCAAAGCCGCAGCCTGGAGAGGACTGGGTAGGGCGCGAGGCTGCTGGGCAGACTTGGGAGGCTGCAGGCTGACCTGGGCTGCACCCGCGTCCCCGGGGCAAGATAGGAGTGCACGCAGCTCCAGCTGCAGGGGTCTGGGGACTGTTGGACTAAATGGCTGAGAGGTTCCAGACTGGGTCTGCTTGTTGGTACAAGCCACCTTTTCACCAGCACTCTGCTCTGCAGCTCAGGTAAGTGTCAAGGAAGGAGGGGGAAGGATGGGAGGAACTGGCATTTGCAAAAGCACTGTCCCTCCTCATGGGTGACCAGAAGAGAGGTCCTTCCCATCACCACGGCCTTCTCCTGCACAGAGAGATGAGAGGCGACCATGGTGTTATGCAGCAAATCCCCAGGCACTGGTAGATTAAAACCTCTCTGATGCAAGTGACCTGTGGAAGGGCGCTGCTTTGATGAAAAGACCCACCCGTCCCATCCCCGGGGTAAAAATCCAAGGTTTGGTTTCTACTGTGATGTCAGGAAGAGGACCAGAACATCACATGACGCCAACACTCCTGTGCCCACAGGAACGGCGCCCCGCCACATCCACACAGCATCCCGGCCTCCCTACTGAGAGCCTTGCTTCCCTCCGGAGTCCTCACGAGGCACCATGGAGCCTGGAGGCCCTGCCTTTGGGTAGGGGAAGGCAACGAACCCGGGCAGGAAGGGGGCGCAAAGACTTGTATCAGCAGGGCCAGGTCTGCCCGTCTCACCAGCAGAGCGACTCAGTCGGCCTCCTTTCAAACCGTCTAAATGCTGTGGGTGCATGCTCAGCAAACGGCAAGACAATGATGACCATGCCAAGGGACACTCAACAGGTGGGGCCGGCGAGCGAGGGGCCCAGGTGACCCTCCCTGGGGCCCCTGGGGGCTAATGTCTCTGCAGCAAGAGAGGTGAAGTCCCGTGCAAGGCCACCCCGACCGGGTGGCTGGAACCAGCCTGTCCCCGGCCAGTTCGGTAACTGCTGTCTGGTTTGGTTTGAATGCTGGTGAGTGTTGCGAGGAGCAACGCAGAAAGGGAGGCCGAGGTCATCCCCTCCATCGTTTCTGCCGTCAGTTACCTTTCGGGAAGGGCCTGCCGCTCCGGGTCGCTGTGCTGGGCCGCAGGGCATGAAGACCGGTCCTCCTCCCGCACTTCCCCGACAGGGAGGGAGCAGGCTGGGTTCGCAGCCGGGACCAGCCCCGGGATGCTCTCCTGGGTCCCGGGGCCCGACAGTTACCACCATCCTCTGCATCGTGTCCTCACGCCCCAAAGCCAAGCGCCTCGGCATTTACAGCCAGCTGTGTCCCCGCCAGGCTTCCAGGTGGTGTGAGCAGAGCTGGAATCAGACATCTCTTCAGTTAATCAGCACCTAGGAGATGACGATCCCAGGGGGCTGGTCTCCACCGCTGTCCATGCACACAGGGATCAACGACGGAGGCTCCAGGGACTCGGACAGGTCCCGGCACTGGGTGCCGGATGGCCGGTACTGCAAGCTTAGCCCCCTCGCGTGGTAAAAATCAGACACAGAAAACTCGCATGACAAGGTCAAATTAACAAGTAAACAGAGAGAGGAACAGCCGTGGAGAAAGAGAAACGGGGAGCCAGCAGAAAGGTAACCACGGAGCCTGGGCTTCCAGAAAGCTCAACGCAGGACGGGGGAGGCTCTGGGGGGCCAAAGGGGGGAGAGGGGAAGGCTTTTGGTTTTATTGAGAATGGTTCACGGAGGAAGAAGAGCGAGCCAAGACGTAAAAGAGGAAAAGGCCCTGGGTGAAGACAGGTTTCTGCTGTTTGAGACGGAGCATCCAGAGCCGGACGGGGGCAGCAATGGAGGCCGGGGCTCCCCGCCTCCCTGTGGGGCCCCCACAAGAGGAGTCCTGCTCTCAGCACTTTGGCCTTAAGGAGACTTGAGTTTCTTAGTCCGTGGGGAGGTTCCGTTCTCTGCTTTGACCACTCCGTTTTCGTGGTAACCTAGGAAGTGGGCGGAGATGGACATGGTGTTTCTGCTGGGGCTGGGGCAGGGGAGGAGGGCAGGGGAGGGAGGCCGGGGGCCTGGCAGTCCCACAGCTGCACCCCCGGGGGCTCCTGCTTACACCCTCCTGGCCCAGGGTCTCGCTATGTTTCAGGTGCTTGGTCTCTGAGTGTCTTTTAGTGGGAGGGGCTGAGGTGACACACAACGACCTGGGAACAGGCGGAGGTCCGCCCACCCAGGCCTGAGGCCAGGGCCAGACCCTCCCTGAAATCACTCAGGGGCTGCCCTCGTCCTCAGCTCCCTTGGGCCCCTGTGGGGCACCAGCCACCTTCAGCAGCATTTCAGGAAGGTGAGGATGGGCAGGCGGAGGTCAGGAGGCTGCTGGGACAGGGCCTGACTCCTTGCCTGGCTCTCCTCTGGCAGAAGAACTGTCCTTTCAGTCACTGTCAAAAACACCCCCTGTGCTTGCTCCAAGTCAGAGGCACATCTGGCGGCAGCCTCACGCCCGCACCCACCCCCGGCCTCGCACACGTCGGTTCCAGTGCACACGGCCCCTGCCGAGCCCTTCCCACACCTGGACACGGGCTGGAGACGCGGAGCACGGAGCCCAGTGCAGACAGGCCCCGAGGCTGCACGTGACCGTGCAGCTAGCAGCGCCCCCAGACTTGGCGGGGGTTCCTGGAGTGTGGCGGGGATCAGAGACGTGGGTGTCCCCCACCCACCTCCCCCCAGCCCTGTGTCACCCTGGGTGAAGACAGAGGAGGACCAGCAACAACCTGGGAGGCAGCCAGGCCGGGGTGCAGAGCAGGAGGGCAGGTGAGGACACAGAGCAGGCGGCCGCGCTGATGGGGTCCCTGAGGCCACCCTGAGGATGTGCTTCCTGCCAGAGCGTCCCACCCAGCTGCTGCCCTGCCCTCCATGCCCGCAAGGGGCCCCGCCTTGTCCGCCAGCCCCGCCACAAGCCGTCTGGGCCCAGGTCCAGCCACGTGCCGGGCAGGCCCCGGCAGGCCTCAGGAGGGGGCAGGACGGAGGAGCTGCAGGGCTGGTCCAGGCCCCAGGGGGGCACCACCACACAGACACGCTCTCCCCGCCCTGGCCCCAGCACCCACCTGACTCCCTCTTGATGAGCCTGGCTGCCGGCCTGGGGGCGGCGGGGACCCTGCGCTTGGCGCTCTGCTCGCTCCAGTACTCGCGCCAGTGTCGCAGCTGGGAGTGGATGAAGCGCCACATGAGCCAGGCCTGGGCGGCGCACAGCAGCAGCAGCACGCACAGCCTGCGGGGGGACGGGCCAGGTGGGTGTGTGCCGGGAGAGGGGCCAGGACCCCGCCTCCCCAGGTCACCGCGGCCACCAGGAAGAGCGTGGTGGGAGGAGGTGACAGATGGGGGCCCAGCTCCAGCCACACTGCCTGGGGGGGCTCCACAGCACAGAACGCAGCTGGTTGTGAGCTCCACGCACATCGAGAGGATTCAGATGAGTGGAATTATGATTCAACAGCAGCGGTAATTCCAGAAGATCAACTTCTCACCCAGCCAGCCGTGTACAACCCGAGCAGCCTGAACCTCTGTTCTCTGACCCTGCCAGGCCCCCTCGCTGCCCCCTGGCCGCTGTGAGAGACCATCGGCCAAGCCATTGAGAACACACTGTCAAGAGCCCACGCGTGGTCGTCAGACAACCGAGAGGCTGATGTGAACCCTGTACCCACCAGGAGGCACTGGGCCCGGGGAGGGACGCCCGCCGACACTGGGACCTGGCCTGCAGCCCGACAGGGCAGGGCCAGGCAGGGAAGACGGCTGTGATGGGGGCAGGAGGCTGGTGTCTCCTCTCCCCTCCGGCCTGATGGCAGAGATTCCCACCTAAACCCAAGGGGGCAGGGGAGACCCAGGGGTCTGCTGCCTCCTGACCTTCGGGGAAGCTGTGCTGAGTTCGGGGAGCTCCTGGCAGTGCTCTGGGAGCCGGGGCCTCTGCCCAACTCACCTGCAAAGTAATGTGTTGAAGTTCCCTTTCTCGGGGTCGAAGGCCTGGTTTTCCATGCGAGCGAGGCCAAAGCCGATGGCCAGCACCGCGAGGGTGAGGATGCAGAGGCGCGTGAGCCCGAATACTGCAGCCCAGGCGCTAAACCTGCGCGAGGAGCGGGCAGAGCACATCAGCCCGGGGCCCAAGGGGACAGGGGCCCAAGGGGGCAGGGCCCCAGGGCGGCTGAGGATGACGCCTGAGGGATGAGGCTGCTGGAATAAGATGCTCCGGGGGGAAAAACCTGGGGGCGCTGCCCACAGGTCGGGAGTGGGGCGGGTGACGCCCAGGCCAGGGCCCTCCCACCCCCGGGCCCCCATCCGCTCCACTCACAGCTTCTCGTTGTTCTCATCTGCGAAGTAGCAGAGGCGGGCGGCGTGGAAGAGGAACTCGGTGGAGTAGTGCAGCAGGAGCAGGACCAGGCCCAGGCGGCTCAGGCTGGGGACACACAGGGCAGGCTCACAGTACCCCCACCCCCAAGACGCCGGGCTCTGCTCTCCACTCCCACCGCCCCGGGACCCCGCCCCACCCTTCCGGGTCCAGTCTGGCCTCGCGCCTTGGAGAATTTTCCTAACACCGCCCCCTGGCCTTTCCCCTGTGCTGCCTGGGGCTCGACGCCCCGGCCCACTCCCACCGCGGACCTGGCTGACTCTGCACAGCACCTGTCACCCAGCCTTCATCTCTTGGCCCAGGACCAAGCACAGAAAAGCTGTGAGCTCTGCATGTAGAAATACAAGGGATTCCCACCACCTGACTTTTTATCGTCCAAGTCTTCACAGCTAAGAGGTACTCAAGGGAGCAAAACTTAGCACAACGCAAAAACAGGTGCCGGTGAACCGACCTCTTAAAACACCAGCACTGCTGACCTGTCTCCCCGCTCACTTCCGGGCACGATGCTCCCACTGACTCCCTAGGCAGTTTGCTGCCGACGGTCGGCTGGAGCTCAGACACGTGCAAGAAGGTTGCGAAGTGAAGTTCCAGACCCCGCTCAGCAGGCAGGGCCTCGGGAAGTCAGGGGGACACTGGGGGCACGCCCGTGGGCCGTGATGAAGAGGGACCCCAAGATTCCACCCAGGGGGACCAAAGAAGTGCAGAACCGATCAGGATGGTCACTGGATCCTGAGAACGGTCAAGAGAGAGACGTGGAATCTGCCCAGTGTCTCCCTGTGGACGAGGACATCCAACAGGACGGCCCCTGACCATCCCAAACCTCGCTTCCCAGCCCCGCTCCCACCTCAGGGCCGGGCACCTGCGGCCCCCCGTCCTGCCAGCTCTTTCTCCCCCTGCCTGGCTCTGTCACTCACTCCGTGACCCAGTCCCCTCCTCAGAGGGGGCCTCTCCCCACACAGTGGCCCACTGGACCAGTCTCTGCATCCCATCACTGTGTTATTTTCTTCCCCACACTTAGCCCCATGGGAAACCCTGCTGATTCGTTTCCTTATGTGTGGTCTCCTCCCACGAGACAGATGCCCCAGGAGAGCAGGGCTTGGTCTGCCTTCAACCAGAGGTAACTGCAGGCGGGGCCCCAACGCCAAGCTGTCTCCAGACAAGACCCCGCGTGGCTGGGCTTTTCAATGGTCTATCCTCCGTGGGAAATCCTGCAGCTGGGGGTCTCTCCTCTCCCCACACTCACTCACTGCTAAAAACTAGAGCAAGGATGGAGGGGCAAGGAGGGGCCCCCTCGGTGGGCAGAGGTGGGCAGCTGCTCCTTGAGATGGGCCAGCTTCGCTGGGGATGGGACGGCATCACCTTGGAGGACCCACCGCCCCCACCCTCTCAATTCTAGTCTCTTTCCAGAACAAGAGTTCACAGGACTCGGCCCAGTCGCGGTCAGACCCCACGCTTCTCCATCCCCGGACACGTCAGATGTGGGGAAGCAGATCTCAGGGCATTGCCCATGTCTGGGAGAGGGGTGATGCTACGGCAGGAAGCTCTCCTTGGTGGTGGTCCTGTCTGTACCCTCTCACGGCGGTCCTCGCACACCACCAGGTGACCGCAGGCTAGCTTCCTCAGACCCACCCCACACGCAGCACAGGAGCCCCCAGCACAAGAGCAGAGCTGGCCTCACACGGCCTCTGCCCCTCAGAGTCCCATCGAGGCATGGACGCTGCTCTCGGCCTCCAGAGACAGGAGAGCGGATGTGGCTCCATCCCCTACATCAGTCATCCTCACGGGATGCCTGCCCTGCGGACCCAGGACCTCTGGGTGCCTAACAGGTTACACAGCGCAAGCTCTCAAACTCCTAGATCAAGTACGGTGTGTGTGTGGCGGGGGGCCCTTTACTGCACAAAGCCCAAGGAGACGCCGAACTGGAACCACACAGCCCGCTCAGCAGTGACTCTTCACAGCAGTGACGCTCAAGGCGATGGCCGCTCTTGCGACTTCAGAACAACCAAGCAGGGACACCTCTACGTTTCATTACAAACCAAAGGGACCAAAGTGGGGGGGAGGCCAGGGCTGCAGCTCTGGGGGGTCCTGCACTGGACGTGCGAGGCAGGGGCCGGGCTCAGACCGCCTTCAGCCTGCAAAGCCATGGTTCATGGGCCCTCGTCCCAGGGGCTGTCCCTGACTCTGTCTCGGGTTGAGGTGGTCCCTGCTCTGGGCTCCCAGGGCAGATGGTCCACATGGTAGCACAGGGCTTGTCCCACTCAGGCCCTTGTCTGTGTAACTGCGTCTCCTACCCGGCTGAGGATAACCCAGTAAACATAAAGGAACCATCCATCTGTGCATTCCCGGGTCTTGGGACGGTGCCTGGCACTTAGAAGGCATCTAATAAATGCCTCCTGACTGAAGGGCCGTGTGGAGCGATGCGTGGACGTGAAGGGCAGGGAGATCTGGCCGGCTCCGGGGTCTCACTCACTTTAGGAGGTACGCGCCCGCTATGTGGACCAGGTACAGGCAGATGTACTGGAGCTGCCGGGGAACCTCCTCCTGCAGGAGACAGGCAAAGGTGCAGCTCGTCCCCGCCCCCAGCAGCAGGGGGACAAGGCGGGCGGCCGCCTCCCTCCCCACCACCGCGGGGCTCGGCTGCTCTAACAGGCTGGGGCGAGAAAGAAGAGACCGGCACGGGGAAACAGGGCTTTTGGAAATAAGTCAGAGGGACGCTTGAAAAAAAAAAAGACCGTGGGAAAGGCAAAGACATCTCCACCCACTCTCCAGAAGACGAGAGTCTGGTCTCCCCCCGAGCCTCCCCACCGCCCCGTGTCCTGTGGGAGACGGGCAGGAGACCCCTCCCGGAGGACGTCAGGGAGACCCGGACAGGGGCTGGCCCAGCCTCTCACCCGCCCGCTTCTCCACCCACGCCTAGCCTGCCCGAGGGGGCGCTGGGGTGCCGCTGGGGACGGCGGGGGGACGGGCGCCAGCACTCACCTTCCGTACCTTCTGGAAGTAGAGCTCAGGGAGCGCGTGCAGCCAGTAGGCCAGCTGGCACAGGTAGAAGAACTTCACCTGGAAGCTGGGGACAGGGAGCGGTCACCCGGAGGGAGGGAGGAAGTCCCAGCAGGGGGTTGTCAAGCCCTGGGGTGGGAGGGTCGCGGGGCAGGACCACGGGGTGTGAGGAGCTGGTCCAGGAGGGAGGAGGAGGGACGGGGAGGGAGGACGCTGCTCCACAGATGAGACCACATGGAGGGACACCGAAGTCCATGGAAGGACACAAAAAGGATGAAGAGAGCAGAGGGGGAGAGTCTTGGGCCTGGAGGAGGAAAGGCTGAGGAGGGGGCTGATTCCACAACACTGTGGGTGGAGAAGATGGTGGTGGATGTGATGCACGTACTAAGGAAGGAAGGACCTAATTCAGCCAAGCCTCTGTCCTGGGGGCCTTGGGAGGGGCCAAGGTGGCTTCTGAAGGACATGGGCCCAGCTCTGTCCTCCTGGTGGCCCACCCCGAGCACGAGAGGAGGGGGTGAGAGGGAGCAGGTGCCCGAAGGCACACAGCCCAGAGAGCTTTGTGGAGAGGCCCTGCTCCCCGCTCGTCCCTTGCGCTTAGGAACCTGCCACAGACCTGACGTGGCCCCTCCAAATCCACGTGTTGAGGGGACAGGGCTCATGCAGGTGACACGTCATTTCGGGATTCTCCCATCATGCACACGAGGAAGCAGCAGCTCCCAGATGAGTCTGCCTCCCCACACGGGGCCCTAACAGGCTCGGGGTGTGCTCTGGGCCTCGGGCCAGCCGGCCCCGTGTGCTGGCCACGGTCTGGGGCAAGAAGGCAGTGCCCGCGCCCGCTGCCCCCTGGGGGCCAGAGTGGCAGTACTCACGGGAGGTACACGTGTGGGTAGTCTTCCCAGAGGCTCCTTGGGTTTGTTAAGTATCCTTCCTGCAGGGTGAGAAGAGGGTGAGAAGAGACAGGAAAGTGAAGCCTGCTGGGGTCCAGGGGTCAGGGGCGCACCCAGCGCCCAGAAAGTGGAAGGAACAGGAACCCTGAACACAAAGACCCTCTGGCGCTTGGCGGGTCTCTCCATCCTGACCCAGCCAGAGGAGGAGGGAGACCCTGCCCTGGGGCCGGGAGGCCCCGCCCATACTAGCTGCATCCTCTGAGCAGCTGGCCTCCCTGAGCTTCAGTTGGCTCACAGGTCAAACAAGGATAAAAATACCCTCCCAGAGCTATTGTTAGGAATAAATGTGACAGTTCATGTTTGTGTGACAGCGCCGAGCATGATGCCTGGCATGCAAACACTCAGGAAGTGCTTGTAGGATGAACAAGCAAATGGACGTCAGGATCACCACCCGCTGGGCAAACAGCAAGCCGCTGTGGCCTTTCACAACCCCAGAAATAAAAGGAATGGCAGGACCCCACAGCCTCCCGAGTGTGACCCTTATCACTGGCTGGGGCAGGGGCTGGGGGTGGGGGTGCCGCCAGGACCTCGCATGGTCATCAGGCTGGGCTCCTTTCTGGCCCTTCTTCGCATCTGCAGCCTCAAGCCCAGGGTCTCTGCCGGAGCAGGGAGGCCACCAGAAGACCCTCCCATCACAGAGCAGTCTGGACACACAGGGTGAAATCTAACAAATGCTCTTTTAAATGCAAAGCCCCTGGCCCAAGAGGGGAGGAAAAGCCAGAGCAGGGAGGTGAGGCTGTGGGATGGAAGACCCTTACAGGGCCACCCTCTCAGAGAAAGGGGACACGAAGAGGCTGACGACCAGCCCTGGGACAAGAGGACGATGTCTGCTCACCCTGGGCTCAGGATGGGAACAAAAATGTGATCCTGAAGGTCTGTAATCCCAGGCTCACTGTCACATGAGTCTGGAGCTCAAATGTCTATCACCTGTGTGTCTGGGAGCCCCTACACTGAGAAATCAGTATTTCTTTTTAATTGAAGTAGAGTTGGTTTATAATGTTGTGTCAGTATCTGGTGTCCAGCATGATGTTTCAGCCATACATACACATACATAGATTCCTTTTCATATTCTTTTTCACCACAGGTTGCTACAAGATCTTGAATATAGTTCCCTGTGCTCTAAAGACCTTGTATTTTATCTATTTTATATACAATACTTAGTATCTGCAAATCTCAAACTCCCAATTTATCTTTCCCCATTCCCTTTGCCCCCTGGTAATTATAAGTTT